CGATTTTGGTCATGAATAAATTGGCAAGAACGGGCGAAACAGGATTGCCCATACTTAAACCGTCTACCTCAAACATCCTCCAACTACAGAAAGAAGAAACCCATGACATCAACCAACAGACTTTCATCACAGGTAACTACAACAAAATGTGGTTTCCCGAAGTTCCCAAAAACTGTATTTTAAATAACTTTTTCAAAGAATTCTCAAACAAGACTGCCAATATAGTCGACCACCTCTACCTCAAACATCCTCCAACTACAGAAAGAAGAAACCCATGACATCAACCAACAGACTTTCATCACAGGTAACTACAACAAAATGTGGTTTCCCGAAGTTCCCAAAAACTGTATTTTAAATAACTTTTGTAAAGAATTCTCGAACAAGACTATTAATATAGTCAACCAATCCCGTAAACTGAAAAATGATTACTTGGTTTGGTTGATTTATTTTGAATTTCGTTCAAAGCTACTTGAGGGCTATCTGCCTTAGTGAAATGGTTTGGTATGGTTTGACATCCCTGGATAATTGTTTGTTTGTTTGTAATTTAGCAGTGATAGACTAGAGGGAAAGCAGCTAGTCAACACCACCCACCGCCAACTCTTGGGCTACTCTTTTACTAACGAATAGTGGGATGGACCGTTACACTATAACTATACACGGCTGAAAGGGCAAGTAAGTTCGGTGAGGGGATTCAAACAATGTCAGACCTAAATGATTACTTACACCTTATTGTAGACAAGATTCGCTCTATGATGAACAGTTTAATTCCAAGGGCAACTGGTCTATTTCAGAAGGACAATTCATACCGCTGAAATTGTTAAAGTTTTGTTCGAAGAACACGAGGAAGGGTCAGGGCACCTACCCTTGACCACCATAGTCACCAGATGTAAAAAGGTATTGAACCTCTATTTGGCCAATTCTCGAAACCAAGCTTCGAAGGAAATATGAACTTCCATCATCACTTCAACAATTCAAAGAAGCCTAAATAAGCGAATGGTGACAAGCGTCTTTGTCTGATACACAAAACCTGGTTTTTTTTCGTGAATTTCATATCGAATTAATTAATTCTAATTGTCTGTTCGCGTGTTTCCATCATTTTGTCCAACCCTGTACGTTTATGCATCTTTAAATGTTGTTGAAATAGTTTCTACCAATCGTTTATTCGTTTAACGATTTTCTTTACGTTGGTTTTGCTTAAATTTACTTAACAATTTTCATCTCTAGCCTAGTGTTTGTGTTTTGTTTTTAATTATGCACAAAGCTACACAAGGGCTATCTGTGCTCTGCCTCCACGGGTATCGAAACCCGGTTTCTAGCGTTGTTAATCCGCAGACATACCGCTGTGCCACTGGGGGCCTAGCCTAGTGTAAGTTAAGCCTACAAAGTATTTTATTTCTCGCTAATTTCGACACGATCTCTCATAACTGTGCACAACATCCCGAAAGGGGGCAACATAATAGTTTATATTCGGTAAATTAAATGATTAAGAAACTGATAAAATATACCACCATCTTTCCACTAACACTATTCAACTCCCATATACATGAAACGTGTTAATCAAAATGGTGGAAAAGTTTAATACCAAAAGCAAATCCATGAGGTTAATCTTGATTAAAAGGTGGCGCTTTCCTTCTAATAATTCCTAACCAATGCCTCCCTTCACGTTAAAACAAAATATATTGCAGTACGCAGATAGATAGAGGACGGTAATATACAGTTAGAGATAATAGAAAATAATGTGTTTAAAAATGTTGAAATAATTGTAATAATATTTACTCACCTTAACCAGAACTTTCCATAAGGTTTGTCTATATTTACTCATCTTATCCAGTAATTTCCATAAGATTTGTCTATATTTCATCATATTAACCAGTACTTTCCATAAGGTTTGTCTACATTTCATCATCTTAACCAGTACTTTCCATAAGGTTTGTCTATATTTCATCATAGTAACCAGTAATCTCCGTAAGGTTTGTCTATATTTCATCATCTTAACCAGTAATGTCCGTAAGGTTTGTCTATATTTCATCATCTTAACCAGTAATCTCCGTAAGGTTTGTCTATATGTCATCATCTTAACCAGTACTTTCCATAAGGTTTGTCTACATTTCATCATCTTAACCAGTATTTTCCATAAGGTTTGTCTATATTTCATCATCTTAACCAGTACTTTTCCATAAGGTTTGTCTATATTTCATCATCTTAACCAGTACTTTCCATAAGGTTTGTCTATATTTACTCATCTTAACCAGTACTTTCCATAAGATGTGTCTACATTTCATCATCTTAACCAGTACTTTCCATAAGGTTTGTCTACATTTCATCATTTTATCCAGTACTTTCCATAAGGTTTGTCTATATTTCATCATCTTAACCAGTTCTTTCCATAAGGTTTGTCTACATTTCATCATATTAACCAGTACTTTCCATAAGATTTGCCTGCATTTCATCATTTTATCCAGTACTTTCCATAAGGTTTGTCTATATTTCATCATCTTAACCAGTACTTTCCATAAGGTTTGTCTATATTTCATCATCTTAACCAGTACTTTCCATAAGATTTGTCTACATTTCATCATTTTATCCAGTACTTTCCATAAGGTTTGTCTATATTTCATCATCTTAACCAGTACTTTCCATAAGGTTTGTCTATATGTCATCATATTAACCAGTAATTTCCATAAGGTTTGTCTACATTTCATCATTTTATCCAGTACTTTCCATAAGGTTTGTCTATATGTCATCATATTAACCAGTACTTTCCATAAGGTTTGTCTACATTTACTCATCTTAACCAGTACTTTCAATAAGGTTTCTCTATATTTCATCATCTTAACCAGTATTTTCCATAAGGTTTGTCTATATTTCATCATCATAACCAGTACTTTCCATAAGATTTGTCTATATTTCATCATCTTAACCAGTACTTTCGATAAGATTTGTCTACATTTCATCATCTTAACCAGTACTTTCCATAAGGTTTGTCTACATTTCATCATAGTAACCAGTACTTTCCATAAGGTTTGTCTATATTTCATCATAGTAACCAGTAATCTCCGTAAGGTTTGTCTATATTTCATCATAGTAACCAGTAATCTCCGTAAGGTTTGTCTATATTTCATCATCTTAACCAGTAATCTCCGTAAGGTTTGTCTGTATTTCATCATCTTAACCAGTAATCTCCGTAAGGTTTGTCTATATGTCATTATCTTAACCAGTACTTTCCATAAGGTTTGTCTACATTTACTCATCTTAAGCAGTAATTTCCATAAGGTTTGTCTATATTTCATCATCTGAACCAGTTTGTCTATATGTCATCATGGAATGTGGTTTCTTTTTAATGTCACCAAACTTTTTTTTCCTTGCCGTTTTTACGTAGATTATGGAAAACTATTTCTTGAACGTTATAAATATACTGTTTTGTGGGATGTTGAGATTATCAAAACATGATACACAGAGGTTAAGCACTTTGTATTAAAACAAGTTTCGAGTGTCACCATGTTGTTACAGTTCGTCGACATGTCCAGTAATGCTCTATCTGACGACCGTGCATTATGACAATAGACTTGCAGCGTAGTTTTCGTTGCAAAATTCTCCATTGTAACGTTTACATGCTCAAAATACACACAACTCCTCCTTGCATCCTTTCCATAATTTGTCTACTGTATGAGGGCGGCCGTTCAAACGTCTGAACGCAAAGAAATCCAAAGATGCAGCATATGAAATAGCATGAATACCTGTTTCACTTTCTAGGTTCTGGGGTATATGAAATTTGAATGGGTCCGTCGTGAAAATAAGTAAGGTACACGTGATCTTTGTTGCTTTCCTAGTAGAATATCCTTCTTGATCGCGTTCCGTACTGTTTCTTGGGGTACGTGGCTGGATTTTGCCACTGACCTTTGTGTTCGTGGATTCTCACCTGTTACAAGACGCCACATTTTCCTTACCTCAGCTGGGATACGACTTGATTCACGTCCCTTTCTGGGTGGTCCTGGTTTCTCAAGTTGATTCTTGTTCTTATATTTTTCATTTCCATTAAGTACAAGGGATATACTCATCTTGGAGGTTCCAAATAATCGATCTTAACAAACAATTATGATCTGAGTGTATAAATAATTTGCATCGAAAAGAGTTGTTACTAACATCCGAAATCGATCAATTTTCAGAGGCGTCAAACTATCTACAAAATGTCAAAACAATATATAACATGAAGTTCTGATACATTTTGTTCTACCATGACTTTATATCAGCTGTGGTTGTCACATGACTTGCGGATTTTCAACTTCGAAACTGTTTTAAGATAATCTACCCAGTCTTCCAAATTTTCTTTAATAGAAGTTTCAAGAGTTTTTTTTTTTGTGTGTGTGTGTGTGTGTAGAAGACAACAGACTCACTAACAAACAAGTGTAGCTGTTTTGACTTTCGCTCCAAGCTGGTCGAGGGTAATATGTGCTAACTGTCCATAATTTTGAAATTATAGGGTAGAGGACAGGCAGCTAGCCAATACTTCCTACCGCCAACTCTTGTCAGACAGAATAGTGGGATTTGGCCATTATACTTATAACTTCAATCTTTTTCTTTCTTTTTTTTTTTTTTTGAAACGGGGTGCGAATCACGGAAGCTCAGATCTACAGTCCGGCACGCCAACCACTGGTCATACCAAACAGGCAGGGTATAAACACATAAGTAGAGAGAGAGAGAGACATACATACAGTTTGAGAGATAAAGATCGACTGACAGACAGACAAACAAATATATCATAACTATTCTTATAGAAGAAAGCCCTAAAAGCTTGTTACAAACAAATCAGTATCACGACTGTTAGCTTGATTAACGCAACGGTTCAGCGAAGTTTCTAGATCAGGTCGACAGGGTTATTCATCTGTATCAGTTCCGTGGTGGCAGGTAACTGCTAGATTAGGCCGGATGTTGACTGGTCTATGTAATGTTAACCCTCTGTCACGAAACTAAAGCAAACACTGCGCTCCTGTGGTGGGCAGAGCACAGGTAGCCCTTTGTGTGGTTTTGTGCTTAATAACAAACAACAACTGTTGATACTATTGTATCCAGAGGTTTCGCTCAAAGCTATAAAGAGCTGCCTGGGCACAACCGCCTCTAATTTTTAACGTAAAGATTAGAGGAAAGACAGCTAGTCAACAGTACCCACCACCAACTTTTGGGCTACTCTAATCTTTTAGCTCACCTGCAGCTTCAAGTTTGTGCAGAAATGGGATGCAAACCATGGACCCTTATATTCCCAGTCAGACATGGTAACCGCTAGGTCACGCCCGGTCCCCACGTGTTGAATCTTTAAAGCTATCTCCAAAGAAAATTCTTCACAATTTTTTTTAATGGTCTAGCATAACTTGGTGGTTAGACCATTCGACTTTCAGCCTGCGGGTCGCAGGTTCGAATCCCATCACCAAATATGCTTGTTCTTTCAGCTGTAGGGCCATTATAGTGTGACGATCAATTCCATTATTCGTAGGTAAAAGTGTAGCCCAAGAATTGGCGATGGGTGGTGTTGACTAACTGCCTTCCCTCTAGTCTATCAGTGCCATCTGTCGGTCAATAAAACATTCTCAGCACAACTATTCCAGTTTTGATATAAAATGTCAGTTGTTTATATATCAAACCAAGTTCCACGCATCTCAAAAACGAAAGCATTAGGAGCTTATTAAAGCCTCGTTCTTGTTGGACTGGAGCTATATAGCAGAACAAAATATTTTTAATACAACAACGTAACATATTATAGAGTAGATGTCAAATAATGTTAACAAATACTAAACCTCAAGTTCAACTCTTAAAACAGTAGCTCTTGCTGCAAGTTATATTTCCCACCAGTTCTTATAAACAAGACCTTTAAAATAGGACGTAATGTGAAATTTCACAAATATGGACACCTACACACACACACACAACATCAAGTCAAGAGTCAATTGTTATATGGACACCTACACACGCAACATCAAGTCAAGAGTCAATTGTTATATGGACATCTACACACACACACACAACATCAAGTCAAGAGTCAATTGTTTGTAGTTAAGCACAAAGCCAAACAATGGGTTATCTGTGCTCTGCCCACCACGAGTATCGAAACCCGGATTCTAGTTCGCAGAGTCAAAGTTCGGAATTTTTGGTACCAGAACGTTGGAAAAAAAAACCGATAAAATAAACATGCTATTATAAATAGCAATTACTAACAGTTTCCTTCAGGCCATAATACTCAACATTTTTCTTGGTCGTCGAGGATAACAAAACTTCATAGAAAAATGGGCGCTAACCAGTTATTTTAGCGTTCGACGCAAGTTAGAGCTTGATAGCAATGGTTTCGGTAAATCGGAAATGTTCTTCGCGCTTACAGAAAAAAAGGAAAAAAAGACAACCTAAATACCATCTCCACAGTCCAGAGAGAAAGAAACACGGTATCTACCTCAGTTGTTCTTTTATTCGTTTTAGATCCGCTTAAGAAAATAAATTGAATTTGGGAAGTTGTTTTCCTAAGAAGCTCTAAAGGGCTTTCGAACTTCCAATATTGAGATTTGTCTTTATGTTCGAAAACCTCAACAAACTTTTTATCCCCAAAGAAAATATAAGTGGTTTCGTTTTTACAAAACTGGACTGTGTGCATTTTGTGAAATAAATAGAAATCTCTTGTTGACAGCTAAATCTCTCACTGTTCTAGCGTTTTGTTATGATTTTCTCTCAAAGCTATACAAGGAGTCTCTGTCAACAGCACTCACCGCCAACTCTTATGTTACTCTAATCGAACAGTAGGACGCACCCCCATAGCGAGATTCTTTTTCCTTTTTTTTTTTTTGTAGCAACATGACGCAAACCAAAGACCCTTGGATTCACAGTTCGACCTGCTAACCATTTGTCCATGCTCTTGGATGATAGTTTTATTATAGAAATGATCATTTAGAAACACTATATATTGAGTGTGCACTGTGATCTGGACAATATAAGGACTACTGAGGTTATAAAATAAAGGACCACATTCTTAACCTAAAACCCTTACCCCAAACATTGTCCACACTGACTTGTATCGACCTTAAGCCTACACTTAGCGGTGTTAGTTAGCCCTTGTTTTAAATAAGTTATATTAGATAATCCATATGAATAATAATAATACCAAACTATTACAGCAACGTTTCGACCTATCTTATATATGATGGCCAGTAGGATGGGCGAAATGTCGCTCTAATAGAGGGTTTCAGCCAGTTAAGTGCATTAACTAATATCAGAAAGTGATTTTTATGAAAGTCGAGATGGTATTTTAATCAAGAGTTTCAATGAAATTAATAATGACAAGTGAGATATGACATAAGAAAAACTCAAAATACTTTAAAATGTTTGTTCATATCTTTGTCAAAACAAATTTTGAACTTGTGATAAGAGAAGGATGTGTCACAATTACAATTTTCTTTGGTCGTGGAGAGGGACAGGGTAGGAGGTGTCACAATTACACCTCCCTTTAGTCGTGGAGAGGGACAGGGTAGGAGGTGTCACAATTACAGTTACCTTTAGTCGAGGAGAGGGACAGGGGTAGGAGGTGTCACAATTACAGTTACCTTTAGTCGTGGAGAGAGACAGGGTAGGAGGTGTCACAATTACAGTTACCTTTAGTCGTGGAGAGAGACAGGGTAGGAGGTGTCACAATTACAGTTACCTTTAGTCGTGA